ATTGCAAACTTAATAGCTTAAATGTACTGTGGGGGTCCTTGCCACAGAGGAATTACTTACCATAAAAGAATTTTGAGGAGCTTGTCTACTTTCAGGATGTGTTTGCAGCAATGTAGTGTAGTTGAATGAAACAATCGCACTACCTGGTTTTTCTGATTCTTTCTTACTAGATAACTACAGAGACACATGGCAGAACTTGACCACTGGCTGGATAGATACAAAGAAGTATTTATTCTTACTCTTTTCTCATTTGAGCAACAGATGCTTCAGAAAGCATTTATTTGTCTGTATAGTAGTATTGGAAATAATAGTTTTCCTTTACAAAACTTTTTTTTTGTTCAAAAAGCACATAATTTGTACTGTTTTGTGAGTTTTAATGATGTGCTTTTGGGTTTCAGCACTGTGCATTGGGTAATTAACTAAGAGGAGCTCTGCACTTCAGTTTGAAGTGACTGTATTGATAAGACCAAATACGTGTCAGGCATAAGGTTGTACTAGTTTGGCTAAAGTAATTTGAAAGATGATGATTTCTGTTTTTTTCCATTGGTGTATATATAGCCCTTGTAGAAGCAGAGGTAGCTAGCAGTTGAATCCTGTTGGCTAGATACTGGTATATCACAAGTCACGACTTGTGGGAAAGTTAACTGTGTTGAATACAATTGTAGTTTTCTGATAAGTCAATGTTTAATCAAACCAGTAGGCTTCCTAAGCAGAGACATAAATTGTTCATAACTTTCAGACACAAAATTGTTCCCTGAAATGCCTAAGGCTGGCAGGGACTTAATTCTCTTAATGTTAGTCTTTCATTACTTCTTTCTAAATCATTCTTTCTAGAATAACTATTAGAAATTACTTTTCTGTGTTTATAGTACCATACCTGCACAGGATTTTGAGAACCTTGAAAAAAATTCTTTATGAATGAAGAGATCCTTTTCTGTTCCCAGCTGCTGCTTTGCCTCTCTTATTACTGCTCGTCAGCCAAGCATAGTGTGTCACTTGGTCCAAATCGCCTGTCACCAGGTGAATCAAATATTACTGTGATTCACAAAATCCAAGTTCTTTTATCTTAATTCCTGGCAACTTGTTGACTTAGGAACCCAAAGTTACTCTGCAGATCACAGTCATAAAGTGGGCACTTAAAATGCCAGGTAAGAGTTATATCCTGTAGAATAGCACTAATAGGAGCCAGCTCCCTACTATGAGCTGTCATACGACTATCAAGTTGCCTGGTTAATACTAAGTGATAAATTTCGATTTTAGGTTTAGGAATCTGTGTCCAGGCTGTAAAGAATTGACTGTATTGGGTGCGAATTCAGATTTGATATGCTTTCCTGGAATTTGTCTTAAATAATTTACTTCCAAAATGGGCAGTATTTACATATTCTTTTCAGGCAAATCTAAGTCATCCTTTTTTCCCCACAGTTAACACTGTGGTTAGGAGACTGTTGTATACTGTTGGAGGCTTTGATGTTGATATACCTTTCAGAATTTTAAAGATTTTCAACTGCTCTTAAATGTAAAATACAAGCGTGGAAGGGAAGCAATAGGGTTCACTTTAAGTTTATATTTGTCATGAGGCTCAAGCAGATGGATTGTAACTGCTAGCGCATGTACTGGGCCCAAAGAGAGAGAAATGTTTCGCTTACTCATTTTGTGTCAGGCAGTCATGTTTGCCATCACCTCAAATACAGCACTTTAATCACTTCAGCTATATTGCATTAATGTAACAAAAACTGAAACTTTCAGCATAAAAAAGTAGTTCAGAGATGCTATCAGTACAAAAGGAGATTCAAAATTATATATCTTTTTAAAGTTACGGGTACTGTCATTAACTTCAGATCCTTACTAAAAGTAGTGGATAAGCTGTAGGAGGGGCTAAGGAATATAATATCTCACTTTTTTGAATTTACATGGTTAATAATTAATACTTGAGATTCTGCTGTATTCCTATAAACCTTTTTGTGAAATCGTTTGACCATGAAAACAGCAGCTTATGATACTCTTTAAGCTGACAAAAATTTATGCTGCTTGTAAATGGGCAGCTCTGTTGCCTGGCTAGTGTGCACTCAAGGGAACAGAAACCTGGTTTGTGTGCTTGAAGTAATCAGCAAAATGCAGCTTAAGAGAAAGTGATCCCTGATAAATTAACATCTGCCTGATGTTTCTCAGTTTGCTTTTTGTAATTGTTACATAACAAAGGAGAATTTCTCCCTTTCCAGCAGCTGTGGCAGGCTAAGAAATACATTGAAGTACGATCTCCTCATTGGAGTGCTCCAGGACAGTGAATTACTTTGGTTTTGGCCTCTGACTGCTTCACTTATCCTTTAGCTTTTCAGGGTCTGAGCTTTCCAATTTGATATGTGAAATCCTTCCACAATGGTGTGGTGTAATAATTGGTGAACAGAGATGGTATAAATCCTGCCTTTTTTTTTTCCTAATATGATGGAAAAGAGGAAATATGTGGCACAAAATAATGAGTTCAGCCTTCTCAGTGTTTCTGGATAGTAAGAGAATTGGTTGTAATGTGTAATTTGGATGACAGCAGATGTCCTGTTACACTTTTAGATTGTCTCTCCTATAGAGATGGCAACGGAGCAGCCTTCCTGCTGGGCTGGCAATGCTTTATTGGTTAGTCTGGTTACAGTTTTTCAGGCTTAGAAAAAAACCAAACCAAACCCAAAACCGAATGCCACAAAATAACACTGTGGTCAAGAAAAGGTGCACTTTGCTGATCGTTTAGGTACTGTGTGAAATTGAAAAAAATATTTTTCTGAATAAAAGTCTATGCATAAGAGTAAATCTATTTTGAAAGGATGACTTTTTGCTGCACTAGTTCTCAGTGTTACCATGTTCTGGTTTTAAAGCTCTAAATACTTGAAATTTCTTAGTTTTTTAAATGTATAAAATGTCATAAATGCTCTAACTATATAAATGACTATTAATTGAGTACTACAGAATTTACTTAATGCATTAGACTTTATCGTAATTCAATTTTTTTTCCTTTCTGAAATGGGTACATTGTATGTGACAAATACAAACATGCTTTACTGAAGTTATTCAGTTTTGAAATGAATATTGAGAATTTTGGGATTTGCAACTAGACTACCTTCTTAACAGTTTACTCTGGGATTATAACTGGTATAGGTTTTTAGACTTCTGCTTAAGTGTCACTTCAGTATGTTGAAATCTGGAAGCAGATATTTAAAATGTGGTTTTCAAACTTAGATTTTTTTATTTTTTTTTTTTACCCCTCTAAAAGACACAGATAATGCTTGTAATAATTTTAGGCTAGAAATACCTTTAAAGTAACTTTAATGAGAAGAATTTGTAATGACTGATTTGATTACCAGCATGCAGTTCCGGGAAAGGCATGAGTTTATACAGCAAAGATGAGTAAGCTGCAGATTGAGAGTCAGGAGAGACCACTTGTCTGCGTGCAAGCTGGGTACTTAAACTCCCATTGCAGTCAATGGAGAGCTGGTTAATGGTGTGGTAGGAAGCTAGGAAACACTTGGACTGACTAGCCACAACTGGACACAGGAAGCAGTTACTAATATTTCTCATTGTAAGCATAGCTCCTTTTAAAGAAATTATCGCATAGCTGAGAGAATGAGAAATGTGAGACCTGTTTGTCTTGGCAAGAAGTCGTCTCCCTAGCCCCAATATGTCTCTTAGTCATTTAAGCTAGCGGGTCAACATATGGCTCTTGGGAGAGAAGGTGGTGAGGATTTGTGACTGTGAATCCTTGATAAGGTTAGATGTATTATAACATGGTTGTCTTGAGTCAGGATAACTTTTATTTCAAAAACATTACAATCTGTCTAGTATAATAATGAAAAGGTTGGATCACTCATTTTAATAACTAACTGGAAGTTGGAACCTTAAAACACCTTTTGTAAGGTGTTTAAAAGTGTTTCCAGGTATAAAGAATCAAAATTTCTACTCATGGAGCTACGTGTTGGAGAAAACTGAGTAAAAGCAAACAACACATTTTATATGAGCAAATGACACATTTCAGTAAAATCAATTGAAATGCATTTTAGAACTTTCAGAGAGCTTGGTTCTTTTTTTGCTTCACTATTCCAGTTCTGACACTTTTATATGGAGCTATGCTGAATTGCACAATTGATACACAGAGGCAATTGGCTACAGTATTTGTAACAAATGGAAAATTGTCTAGAAGCTGTATAAAATTCATCGTTCAATTTCAGCTTGCTGAGCTGACTTTCACATGCATGCAGTTTGTAGAGGAAAATGATGTGTTGCTGACCTAGTGATCTGTCAATACAGTGTTTTAATATAAATTCCACCAAGAGAAGCATTAAGGGTTGAAGTGTGTTGCTCTTCATAAATAGGATTAAGTTTGTAGGGAGCTGTATCTGGTGAAGAACGTGTCATGGTCCTGCCGTTTATTTCTGAGACCCAAAGGTTAAACGTATATAGATCACTGCTGAAGCTGGGACTAGAGTTGAAGAATATTCAATAAAGTATCAGTAGGTTCTAGTAATTGGTTTTAGTCATTCCCAGTTATTTATTTTCTAGAAGGTATTTGACTATGCCAATTGAAGTATAACCCTTATCTGTAGTAGCAGGGTGAGGCTTTGTCCATTTGTGGCCAATAGCTTTCTTTAGCTATGCTATGTTGCTTATGAAAGCAAAACAAACAAAACAAACTACTGTTACTTTTTTTCAGTATTCTAAAATTATACCCCAGCATAGGATTTGGCAGAACTCTGCTATTACAAGTGGTGTTTTCTGGAAGATGTTTGAAATCTATATTAGGGAATACAGTGACCTGCTTTGCAAAATGTACGAATGTGGCCAGTCAGCTTACCACCCTCAGATTTCGGTAGCTTTATAGTTTATTGGACTGGGTACTGCTTTTAGTTTTGCTTGTAGGATTTTTATTTCTGAGAAACTTTAGTAATGCTGATTTTGTTGTTTTAATAGCAAGTTTGTCTTTTTTAGGAAATAAAGCCTCAAAGCCATTACAACCATGGATATAGTGAATCTCTTGGACGGAAAAGCCACATTGATGATTACAGCACTTGGGACATTGTCAAAGCCACACAGTAAGTTTATTTTTGAGTGTTAGATTTGTTTGTGTCTGCTAGTTTTTTTTTATTTGCATGAGGTGGAAGGTGAAGTGTATTTGTAGATACAGTAGTGGAAGACTTCAGAAATGAACTCTACAAAATTACTGTTCAGACAAATTCACGAGCACTGTATGAAAATGCCCAGGAGGAATTGTGGTAAGTTGTAAATATAGGTGGTTGCTAGACGGATTGTTGGAAGACATCATACGGTTTTCTTCCTGTTGGTACTGATGTTTATTTTCTGTAGGTGATGTTTAAGAGGGAAGTGAGCAACATTGATACGCAGAAATGAGGGTTTCCTTGATTTATTGTCATCATTTATAGGTTGGAAGGAATGTGTCTCTGTGTCACTGCCTTCATTGTCACTGATTCTGCTGTTTCAGTGCTGCTATGAAACAGTTTATTGCTGAGAAAGGATTGTAGGAGTGAACTGTGCGCAAATTTAGTGATGGCATTCTTAGTGCAGGTGAATTATACAGCTTTGTCTTCTATGTGGTCCTGTAGTTCATACTAACTCTGAAGACTTTCTCAAGCTTTTTACCTTGTTACTATTTACCATCCAGAAGCAGCCACCACTATCGCTTTTCTTCAGTGAGCTGAGATGATAGGGAGTTTTGCAAGAGTTTATTTTTTTTATATTGTTAATTTGTATGCTTAAACTATTTTATATCTTGCTGTTTGCCTTTTTCTTCTTAAAAGAAAATTTGTTGTTTTTTTTTTTTTTTTTGCAGCTCTGCATGTGACACAGGCCCCATGTAGGTTTAGGAAGTACCTGCTTTTCTTCACTCTTTTTGAGTTGAGTTTATCTTCCTAAAATAGGTGTTCACTGACTCTGCAATTGTTGCTTCAAATACTTTAATAGTAGTACTACAATATATAATCCTTATATTAGGGGATTTTTAGAAATGAAAATATTGGCATAGTGTCGAGCTAGCTGCTTCTTAGAAGCATGGAAATATGAATGCTGCCATTGTTGTATGCTCACTGCACATTTGAAACCCTAAGCCACATTTGTCCTCATTAGCCCTCAAATTTAGGCTGACCTATGCTTTCAGCTGAGTTGTTATAATTATTTTCTGGTTTCCTCGAACAAGAATCAACAACACTGAGTTATCTGTTATGTTCCTTCCCAGCCATGGTGACATGTGATTTACAGAGAGGATGACATCTTGCCAGAGAGGACTGTGGCTCCATATCATAGCCCTAATGGTTAAGATGGCAGGGAAGGGGGACCGTCAGCTTGGATATATGATCAAGTTGTGGTATCCAGACAGCACTTCCCTGACCAGAGGGACAATTCACCTTTATTTTAAGTCTTAACTGTGATTTGAAGGCCATGTTATATGGCCTAAAGGCAAAAATCTCTGAAATTTAAGGCAGAAAATAAACCCACAAAATATCATAAGGCTTGCAATAAAGTGAATAATGCTGTTAATATATTAATTCAGAATAATTAAAAAGATACACAGTTCCTATTGAAATGTTGTAGTTACTTTTGTAGAAAAATAACCTCTCTTTTATATAAAAGAAAAGTAGGTGATCTTATCCTCTACCACTTGTCCTTCAAAAATCAATATTCACTTAGAGGAAAATAGCTGCTGACTTTACTTGTGTTAGCACTGAACTAAAAAGTAAACAAGATACCACAAAGTTTTGTATAAAAAGGCCACTTGTCTCTCAGAACTTCCCCCCTGCCAAGCTGTTCAGTAAGTTCAAGCAAAATGTAGCAAAATAGAATAAGAATTATTTTCAGTCTCTTAGTCTGGGTGGATTTTTTCCCAAGTCCGGACATGTAGTGTTTAACATGGCATTGACAGCACAGATGGGTTTTTTCAGAACACTTCAAAACCAGCCCAGGAGACCATAACAGGGTTTTTTAGTGTGATATGGTCAAATGGTAGCTCGGTTCTTGCCACTTGTCAAATGAAATTCTGTCAGTCTTCAGAATAGTCTGATACACAACTTTATTATTATAATTAGCTGTCTTTTTCTGGTTTTGATTTTGGTTTGGATTTTTGTTCTTGGTTTGTTTTGGTTTGGGTTTTGGTTTTTTTTTTGGTTTTTTTGTGGTTGTTTTTTTTTTTAAAGATTGATCTGTCATCCAAAGTGATTTGGCATTTCATGTAAGATCACTTAAATTGCAGGCTTCTTGACAGGTAGAAGGTGCATTTCACCACAGCATAGAATTGTTTGCTATTAAATTTGTGATAATCCAAGCAGGAAGCAGTTAGCCACATCATGTAAGTAGTTGGTGAATAATTTCAATTTTTTTTTCGTAATTGTTCTTGGTGTTCAATGTGCCACTTTATTATAAGTGTCTCCAGTGAAAGTAACTAGGTATTTTATTGTTATAACATACATGAAAATGGGGAACATAGTTCCTTTAAACTTTAAAGATGGTGATGAAAAATGGAATGAAAAGGTTTAAAACTCATCTGTTCTTTATATTTGCTGTTTGACTGTAGAAGTCTATTTTGAGATGAGTTTATTGGCACTTGATTACAGAGAAATAAAACAATGTTAGTAAAATAATGCATTTGCTTTTGTTTTTCAGCAAGGGAAAATAAAATCTTGCAAACACCACAAATTTTTCCAGAAGTATTTGTTTGTTGTTTCATATCCTGTTGAACTGTTTGTGTGCTTTATATTCTTAGTCTGTTGTTTGGACACTTATTAAATTAAGAAGCTCATACACTTTGAGCAACAAATCTAATAACCTCTTGCAATCAAATTAAGACTTTGTACAGAAGAGAGCAGTTCAGCAGATGTTCTCATTGCAAAGAGTTTATTTGTATTTTTTCCTTGTTAAGTTACTGATAAATTCTCCCACAGATGTGGAGGCCTAGGCATACTTTGTACCAAAAATAGTCTCTCTCTGTGTTTATTTTGCAGAAACTGGTGCTGGATTAAAAATCATAGTGTTTGGTTTCAATATCTATTGATATAAAGGACATTTTTCATTGGCTTTGTTGTAAACATGTCCAAGGGCATGTAGGTAGTGTTAAATGTAGTGTTGTCTTAGCCCTTCATCCTGCAGATGTTACAATGTGTGTATAATCTCTTGGCATCTTGTATTCAGTTACAGCAAAACGGTTCGGTTCGTATGGACTTTCCACTGTGTTTCTGGAAGCAGAAGCAGGCCACTCAAATGTATTTGAATATCTGTTTTCAAAGCTGTAGTAAAAAAAAAAAATCCCTTCTTGGCTTTGCTGTTGCAATAGAGGAACATGGCACGCTAGTACTGAATGTCACTTAAAACTGCATAGAAAATGTTTGAATTTCTTCTAGCTTTACAAAATCAGAGGGTGTGCTGTGCATTGTTTTTGTTCCTCTGTGGTATCATTCAGTGCTCTCACTGAAGCTGCAAGGGAATGGAGTCCTGTAAGAAAAGTCATAAGTGATTTAAAAGAGAAATTTAATGGAGATATATTGGGTTTGTCTATTTTGATCTCTTTTGACACCAGTAGCCCTGTGTCATCTGAGTCTGGAGTTGTAACTTGGAATATGATGTCTTGGGAAGAGTACTGTTTTAACATAACTTCAAGTTGCTTGCTTTGTTTTGTTTTAAATCTTTTAAGCCGTGGAGCTAAGGAAAAGTAGCTGATATTCACAGGTAGAGAAATATATGATGGGTTATGACTAGGAGAACAAAATCTGAGACACATTAATCCTTGTGTCATGATTTTCAGCTCTGTTAAGAGTGAATAGGCACCTTCTGCTTGAACTTGAGCAAATTTCAGCTATGCTGAAAGTGTGTTAAATAACCATTATGAACATGGATATTAAACATTAATGATAGGAACAAGTGCTTTTGTGACTTGTGGAAGATTGATTCCTTGTGCTCAAGTGTTACAATTTCATTACTGCAAGATTAACTTTTCTGTTAGTTTTATTCAGTGAAATAATTCAAAATGAAATCGTGTGTGTTATGAAGTAGTGCAACAGGAAATATGAGATGTTCTGAATTTTTCTCAGGAAAAATAATTGTTTGATACATTTGAGAACATGCTTTTCTCCTTACTATTTCTCATCATTCATAGGGTAACTGATAAGAAAAAAGATACATATGGAATAATTCAAATTAGTGCGGTTTGGCCAAAGTAACAATTGCTGCTGACTTTTTTCAGCTACTCACAGGAGAGGATGGGCAGACTGTGACACAGATACACATTTTTCATGCCTGGTCACTTATGCCCATGGAGTTTGATCCTGTTGCTGAAAGTGAGATGTATCTGAAGTTTGCATGGAAGGGTGGGATTTTTTTTTAACCACACCAGTCGTATAGCCATAGCTGTCTAGACAATTTGAGGCTTTGAAACATATGCAAGGACTGAATTTCTCTTATCTCTCAATATCACTGCTAACTGTTCATTAAGCAGCTCTTGAGTTAACCCTTTGCTGTTGAAAACAAAACTTTATGTGTAACACAAAAAACACGACAATGTATGAAAGGCGTTGCTAGTATTTAACCACCATCATTCATGGGAGTAAGACTTCAGAAGATAACTTTTCTACTGATTGCATTTCCAGTTAAAACAGCTCTGATTGGAGTTATGATAGTGAGATGAGGGAGTAAGCTCCTGGCTTACCTGCTGATTGTTGGCATGGTGATATGCTCACTGAAGAGAGATTCCTTCCTGGTGTTGTGGCCAAATTGTGTTAATCGTGCAGCAAAGCCGGCAGTGTCTATTTCCAAGAGTCGATGTGCTTGCAGACAAAAGATTTAAGAACGGATTACATATTTAAAATGTGAAAAGCTTCTGGGATACTTTTTTTGAAAGTATTAAATTCAGAATATTTTTAACCTGCGATGACAAATAAAATGTCACAGGTTGGTTACTCCAGTGGCTTAGAGACTGTGATAGTGAAATGAGCTTGCACAATGCTATTTTTGCCCTGAAAGAACTAGTCCCATTTATTTCAGAACAAGGCAAGCTCACTGGTATCTTTAATTATACTCCATACTGATGTTTACAGCTCGACCTTCTGGAATTCACCCAGATGCTGAAAATTTGTTAGGTTAATACATCAGTCTCATGAGGATTCAAATTTGTTCCTATGTTCGTCTTTCTTGAAGGGCATATAACAACATGATAAGCACAATTATGCTGAATGTCTGAGATAGATTACTTTCTCATTTTGTAGTCTAATGGTGCGTCATGAACCTTTGGAGAAGGCAAGGTGAAGTCAGCTGCAGTGAATTGATGGAAGAGGACTGTGGGTAGTATGTGAGAGAATAATGCCGCATTTCTAGGGCACAGCTCAAGAAACCATGACTGCATCCGATCCAGTGTTTTGTTTAGTTGTAGAGAGCCTGATGTTTCCAGGAAGGGGAGCAAATTGTTGTAAATTCCTAACCGTTTTTGCCAGCCAGATTTTGTCTGTGTAAGTTCTTAAGTCCTCTTGTGACAACTTAATAAATCGAAGAGTTACTGAATTACACCTGATGTTACATCTTTTGTAATCAGTTATGATTGAGTTCAGGGTATCAAACTAAATTTCTAGAAACAGACAAACTGATAGTGACCTAAATAAAAAATTGCTGTATACATAATTCTCAGATTAACTTTTGGGAAGCGTTTTGCTTTCCTGGGAAGGCTCTTCTGATGTATTGCAGAACTTCATGATTTGTTTTGTGGCCAAGGAGTAGGAAATGTCTGTGACTTGCACTTTGCCTTCCAGTGAGGAGGAGTGGAGGTCTGTGGTGCTAAGCCCAGAGAAGGAATCCATTGCTGCTACTTCTTGTTGTATCTGAACCCATGTAGAAGTTTTTGACTAGGGCCTCACAGCAGCATAAGGGTGAATTCTAGAGGGTATTATTTGTGAACGTCAGTGGAGCATAATTAGAGCATCGTATCAGAGCTTCTGCTGTGGCATTGGTGCCAGCATTCTGCCTCAACAGGCTGCAGTTGATTCATGTGCTTGCCACAGCTCTCCTTCATTTTCATATCTCTTGAGCAAAGTTTTTTGGCAAGCAGCATCATCTTTTCTGTAAGACTAGAGATTTGCTTTAAATAAAATAAAAAAACCCTACCAAAAAAACACCACTAAAACTCCAAAGAACAAACTGCGTGCCCTGTGCCCCCCGCCCCCCACTCTGAGACTGACAGTGCGGGTTGCTTATACTTATCTTGGTAACATCGTCTAACAAAAACTTGACTGGTTATAACAGGTTATTTTCAAGGAGGTTCATTTTCTGTTGTGTATTTAACTTGCTAGGACATTTATCTAAATCATTTGTACAGTTTGCCATCCCTGACCAATAGTTACGTTGTGGTAACCCAGGTAGGCAGCTGAGCCCCGCACAGCTGCTTGCTGACTGCCCCTCCAGTGGGATCGGGAAATGAGTCAGAAGGATACTGAGAGAGACAGGTTAATAGGGAAAACAAAAGCTGTGCATGCAAGCAAAGCAAAACAAGGATTTAATTCACTGCTTCCCATCAGCGGGCAGGTGTTCAGCCATCACCTGGACAGCAGGGCTCCATCACACCTAACAGCTACTTGGGAAGAGAAACACTAAAACCCAATGTCCACCTTCCCTTAGCTTTTATTGCTTAGCACAGTGTCATGTGAAATGGGCCATCCCTTTGGTCAGTTGGGGTCAGCTATCCCAGCTGTGTCCTCTCTCAGCTTCTTGTGCACCCCCAGGTTGCTCACTGGTGGGGCGGTATGAGAAGCAGGAAGGGCTTGGTGCTGTGTAAGCACTGCTCAGCAATAGCTAAAATGTTATCAACACTTTTGCTCACAAATCCAAATGAAGCTTCATAGGAGCTATTATAGAGAAAATTAACATGATCCCTGTCAAAACCAGTACATGTAAGGAAAATCCTAATGCACTGCTTGAAAAATTTACATGATTGCCTCTTATACTTTATGCAAGGTAGTGTTATTGTGTTCTTGTGTTCTTTGTATCTTTCCAATAACTTAGAATATTTTTTTAATATAATTCCTGCTTCTTGTGTAGTGCTAATTTAAGCAGGATGAGAGTCAACTAAACTCAGCCTTAGGCAGTACATTTTTTTTTTAGCTGGTGACTGTTAAACCTAATAGCAGGGCTGTAGGCCAGTAATTTCTTACATTATGGCTTTAGTTATTTGTTTAAATGAAGGCACCAGGCTCATCTGCAGTAGGAAGGGTTGTCGTAACAGCTGACTGGAGTGGAACAGCTTGCCAACCAAAGGGTGTTTTACTGTTCTATATGAATCGCTTTCCAGATTACCTCCAGATATTGTACTATGCTGGTTTGATATGATACTGTAGTAAGCCAGGTTGGACAGGGCTTTGAGCAGCCTGGTCTAGTGGGAGATGTCCCTGCCCGTGGCCGGGGTTGGAACTGGATGATCTTTAAGGTCCCTTCCACCCCTAAGCATTCTACTATAAGATCAAAAGTTACTGTCTTGCTTTCAGAAGTCGTCTTTTCCTTAGTCTCTTCTGCTCTCTCTTCTCACTCCTCGTTCTTGGCTGACCTGCCCCTAGTAGTCCTAGCCTGTTTCAGTGGCCCCTTCAGCTGAGGTTGGGAAAGTCAGGAATAGGATGCGTTAAGCCATTTGAACGGGCACTCGTCAGGCCACGTTGCTGATCTGGACTGGGACTTGGCAGATGGTGTGCCTTAGGACTGGCCAGGTGTAAAACCTTATCAGTTTTCCTGGCAGTTGTGTGTGTCTGAGTATGTGTATCTTGTCTAGCCAGTTGCATATTTTTAAGTCTTCATAAACCAAACATCTTCTCTCCCTCCGCAACTGATTAAAGCCAGAAATTTCTTGTCAAAATTATTCATGACTGCTGCTTTTTTACTCAGTCTGAGGGACCAAATTTTGTAGGCTTATTGCCAGTTGGTGTGTACTGCACGCAATAGCCTTTGTTCTGATCTTTTGTAATATTTGGCAAGATCATAGGTTTAACAGCAATCTCTAGCATTTTTCATAATTTCTGAAGAAATTGAAAACAAGGTGATCTAAGTAAACTGTTATGTCTAACACTTCTTTTTTTGATAGCATCCAACTAATTTATGTGATTTAAGCCTGTGATAGGCTTGGAAAGCATTCCTGAGGTTTGTTGATTTGAGCCATTTGAGGCTTCACTGTGGGAGTGCTGTCCAGATTGAGGATCTATTCATATACATGAAAGAAAAAATAAGAACGATAACTACCCTGGAAGAAGGGTCTTGGCATGAGTTACACAAGCCGATCAAGTGGAGCAAAGGAGCCTTAAGGCTGCATCTTCTGCAGAAAGTAGAACATAAAAGCAGCACAAGGAAACTGACTTAAATTCCAGTTTTGAGAAGCTGTTAACATTGTGCTCTAGCAGAAGTCAGATGTCACAAGGCATTTATCTTGATTTTGAGGTTTGCCCACACATCGGTCTCCTCCGTGTAGACCTGAGAAATCCCTGTTGGTTGTACAGACTTTGAAATGTAATCTTTGCGTACCTTTCTGCATTTCTTTTATTGCCACTAAAAATAGGTGGTAAAACAGTGTAAGCATCAAGACAAACAGTATTTAATGTTGGAGTTAGTCCTACTTTAGATGCCTAAGTGATGATTATGCTTTCTGAATTGTTTCAACTTTCAAAGTGTATGCAGAATTTTTTTCAAATGAAGGTAGCTCACCTTTAATAGTAGTCTTTAATTAAGTAATTAATTTAATATTAAAGTATAGAATTTTGCAGTAATATAAAAAGTATCTGTTACTAATTTATATCAGACAAATCACTCTTTGTTATCTGAGAAGAAAAATGGGACATGTTTGAGCTCTGTTAGTGTTTGTAATTGATCTGATAATCTTGTAATCAGAATTTTAGGAAGATACTGTCAAACCAGTTGGCTAAGCTCTTCTGGTCTTCAAGAGATGGAAAGGAAGAAGAACAGAGGTGGAAAAAAAGAAATGTAGTGGAATCCCTGGGAAGAGAAGTTTTATTTATACTTGATTTAATACTTATTTGTGTTTTGCCTTGCTCTACTATATAGGTTGCTGTGGAGACAAGTTTTCTGTAAAATCATGAAATGGTTAATATAATTTCTGCTAGTTGAAACTTGTTGCAAGAGACCCATAATCATATAGAAACAGAAAGTAATGTTTCTGCTTAATTTCTCTTCTGTTGAAGCTTTTGTATTGTGACTATAAGTGTAGTGTTTGCCAAATGCATTTTTGGGCAAAATAATAACTTTGAAAAATCTTATTTTCTTCTTTAAGGTATGGAATATATGAACGATGTAGAGAGTTGGTGGAAGCAGGTTATGACGTACGACAACCAGACAAAGAAAACGTAACACTTCTCCATTGGGCTGCAATCAACAACAGGATAGATCTGGTGAAGTATGTATTACACTTTAAGGACGTTTACAATTAAAAAAAGAAATCAACATTTTTAAGTTAAGGTGCTAAATAATCTTAGGACCCTTAAAAACTCAATTTTTGGTCTCGAAATTTGGAGACAGGAGGTTGCTGCCAAAATGCAAGTGAGGTATTTTGACCATTGTTTCAATGACACAATTAACAGAAGTAAAACCTAGTAAGTACCCAGAAGTAAAACTCAGACACTTCTCACATGAGGTAAACCCGTGGAACAGCTGTTCAGCTGCATGAGCAATTTCTTTATACTATGTTATACTTGTTGAAATACTAAATTCCTTTTTTTTGAGAGGGGGAAGTTTGATGCTAGATCATAGTGAATGTTTTTCAGTAAGCAAGATTAATATGATGCAAGGGGCAATTTCTACTTAATTCAGCGTTTCAAGAAGTTCTAACTTAAATAACTTCGCATTTTAAAAACACAGCTGTTACAACAGGTAACATTGAAGCACCTCTCCTTTAAAGTAATAACAATTTTTAATAGCTGTGGGATTTGGGATATTTTTGCTTTTCAGTTTATAAAATCTGGAGTATAATACTTGAGACAATGTTTTAAAACCTATTATTATCTTTCAGAACATGGAGGGCTTAAATTCTAGAGAGAGAATTCTTAGTACTTGCTGTTTTACAAATCATGAATGTGTATAGAACGTGGTTTTTTTCCTCTACTGGTAACAAAATAAATTATGTATGTGCAGTTGAAGCTACACAAAATAATATTGAATCACCAGGTTTCTAGAATACTTGACGTAAACTGCACGTCTTCAATCAGTCCACTTTTCAAAGCAGTTCTTTCTAATGTGTGTACTTGTACATAAAAACAAATGCAAAACATCTTTATTTAAGCATGTTCTCTGCATATATGTCCATCACCAGCACCCTCATACCTGGGCTTGAGTTTCTAGAAGATGTCAGGTTCATGTTTCTCATCTTGTTTTTAAAGGACTTCCTGCATCCTGATGCAGTTCTCTTAAATGAATTTTAAATAGATAAAGATAAGTAAATAGATAGATTTAGATCTGATGAGAAGGACCTTGGGGTCTTGGTGGACAGGAAGCTGTCTGTTGTACTTGCAGCCATGTGGCAAAAAAGGTCAATGATATACTGGATCTCAGTAAGTAAAACATTGCCCGTGTGTTGATCCTTCCTCTCTACTCAGCTGCTGAGGCTGAACATCTGTGTGAAGTTGTGGGTTCCCCTTTGCAAGATAGATATGAACTGGAGTGAGTCCAGTGAAGGGACGCAAAGATTGTCAAGAGGCTGAAACATCTGGCTTGAGGACAGGCTGCAAGAGCTTGGACTTTTTAACCTAGAGAAGAGGAGGCTTATCTTGTCAATGTATATAATAAGATCCTCACGGAGGATCTTATCAATGCGTAGAAGTACCTGGGATACCTAGTAATATAATACCTGGAATCTTACCAGTGTGTAAATACTTGATAGGAGGAAGTAAAGGAGCCGGAGCTGGACTTTTCTCAGTACTCCCTAGGGGCAAAATAAGAGGCAGAGGGCACAAATTATGACACACAAGAAATTTCATCTGAACATCAGGAAACTTATTTTACTGACACAGTTTGCCCAGGGAGGATGTGAACTCTCCACCCTTGGAGATATTCAGAGCTGAGCTGGGTGTGGTCCTAGATGACGTGATTAGATGCTTTCATCAGGGATGGTCAGACTAGGTGATCTCCAGAGGTCTCTTCTAAACTAAACAATTCTGCAAAATAATTCAATGTTTCTGAAATTATTTTTTATTCACAATGGATAGCACAGCAGGTTTTATGTCTTTATTGTCAGTAAAAGCTTACAATGGAAACCATGATTCTGCATTTGATAACTTCCCTTCTTTATAAGGTAATGTGCTTTTCAGGCATTCTGAAAGAGAGACAGACCCCCTTGCAAAAATGGAGGACCATGGTTTACCTGAATAACTCTTTTATGAGTGCATTTTAGACTTGTTTTCTTCCTTTTTAATTCCATTTCCTTCTGGGTTGTCCTGGGTATTCATGGCTAGCATCTTACAACTTGCTGTGCAACTGGAATGCATACAGTTTTTCAGATAGCTGTTTTTCTTTAAGAAGAGTACAGTGCCTAAAAACAGTTGTTATATTTTGAGCTCAACTTTTAATCCATGTTGAATGCATAATCAATTTTGTGCAATGAATTGTTCATCTTATTTGAAGCTATTTGAAGAAATACTGTATTGCAGATATTCTGTTTCATTTAATATGTCTTTAATAAGGTCTGAAAAGTGGATAGCATTGAGACAGCTGTCATTTAAAAACATCAGAATGACATGAGGAATTAGAAAAAAAATAGGCCTATATTGTGGATAATGTTTCTGTATGAACTTAAGTATAATGTCTGTATTAGCTTCACAGTACAGTGAATCTACCTGTGTGATACTTGATTGTGACTTAATGCTGAAGTTCACTAGCATTTTATGTCTTCTACAGCTTTTACTTTAAAAAGCAAAACCAATCGTCCTCCAAAAAATTGTTTGGGGACTTTGTCATTCATAGAGTAAAATCTGACCTTATTTTAAATTCCCCATTAGTCGTCTTTTTAAGCTAATTTTTTTGTTCCCCTCCAAGACTGTTGCTAACAATTTCCTGCTGTAGCAATTATATTGTACATAGAGGTGTTTCAAAATCAAAATACCATATTGAGATGGATGTTTAAGCACAACTTCTATCTATCTGAATTCCCAGTTAAGTCTTTATTATATATAAGGGAGATATCTACCTGCATTTGAGTGCTGGAATTTTAATTCAACATAACTTTAATTGCACCAGCCATATCACTTTCAAGTTATTTTAGAATGAGCCCTGACAATTGAATGTTCTTAAATCTAATGTGTATAATTCTTCCTTTTTCCTCAGCAGTGTGCCAGAGCTCTTGTCCCTTCTTGATGCATCTCTACCACTGTGACATACTGCATTTTATTTTCTTCCTGCTGTTTACTAGAGTGCACATGACTACTAATGTGTCTTAACTGCATCTAAAATTCATTCTTCCTGATGCAGTTCTTATGCTTCAAGTTCCTCTGTCTTTAGGGGGGGTATCTTGATTTATTTTAGTTTATATCACCCAGCGTTTTGTGCACTGTCTCACTCTCTCTTTAGTGAGACACTGGATTATTCTATTTCCTTATAATGAAATTATTCTTGTGTTTTCTTTTTGCTTGATCTTATCACATCTTTCCCCAAGTCTCCAGTATTTGTGCCCATTGTGTGCAGTGGATAACTGTATTAGATATGTTGTCTAGTGAGATTGGTATGAGCGAGAAAGAGTCTAGGTGCTCTCATGATACCAGATCTCAGTGTCTTGCTTACTGGATGTTGACTATATAAAGTCTTCCTAGTAAAGTAGCTTAGCAGCTCGTCTGTGGAGACTGCAGGTTTACAATTAGACTTCTCTTGTTTGTAGTATTTCCTCTTCCTGGTTATTGTGAGACTTGAGATTCAGCATAGATACTGGTGAAGCCCATTCATATTTTATAAGGAAAACTACAGAACCTTTTCTTATTTCTGTAGGATTAGGGAAAATGTGAGACATCCACGATGTAATTCTCTTTTCATCATGATGCTGATCTATTGGTCTGTCTTCAACTCAATTTTGTAAAAATGCAAAAATTGACCTTTGATCTCTCCAGTTATCTACTGACTGCATATCCCCATTCCCTGTGTCCAACTTTCTCCAGACAAGTATTTATCTTTTACTTTTCCTCCTAGGAAAAGTGACTGCGTGCACTTTGATTCCACAAGCACTGAATGCAAACTGGGGCAGTTTTCAAATGCCTGGCAAAGACTTAGGGATGCTAATGTAGAGATCAGTAGAAGTATTTTCTTCTTAAGGCAACCTCTTATCAGATCTGCTTGCTTTGAATTTAAGAAGATTGCTTAAATAGGACTTGCACATGTGGCATCTTTGCGCGTGGAAGCTTAGATGACAAACTAAGAGTAGGATTGCCCAGTTCTTCCTTTCTCCAGGGTCATTCTCATGAAGCCAAAATCGCTTCTGCAAGATCTACGTAGACAAGGAAATTAAGTTCTCAGTCTGGTTTTGCATAAAAATCGCACCACTTTGTGTACTGAAATGCAGCGATAAATCTCAGCTCAGTCTAAGAACAGCCTTAAGGAAACATAAAATGTTATTTCAGTGTGCCATCTGGCAGGAGATCGCTGCCTTGTCTTTTCTCAGTTGTCAAACTGCAAGTTCTTTCTTCTAAATAAAACGCACGAACTAGTAAGCAGTGCTGCTGCTCGGTGGAATCTGAACATATTCTGCGTTTCTGCAGGGCCCGGTGTTTGAATGAAGACAATCTGTTTAACGTTCACCTCCCCGTGAGCGGCTGTCACATCCGCAAGATGGATCCAAGCTTTGACTGTGAATTTCTCTGTGCTGTCTTTGGTTGAGACAAGATTTCATTGGGAGCCCCTTCACAAGGGGCTTCTCAGCGTCTTTTTCAAAATTGTTTCTTGGTGGCTGACATTTTGCATTACAATAACAAAATTACATTGTCTCTTTACCTTATATATACCTTGTCTTTTCAGCTATATGAGACCAAGACTTTCACACAATTTTTGGCTGCTCTCATTGAGAAATCGAAAAGCTTAACTTCACCAGAGAGAAGTTGCACTTTGGCTCCTTTGGTGTTGGAGACCAGCAAAGTGGTCTGTCCTGCATTGATCAGTGCAGATTTTTTGTCATACAAACAAGAGTTGTCTGAGTGGCTCTAAAGCAGCTGTATAAAAGAACTTTACTTTTAGATGTGTTTGGTGTGGACATGTATAGCTAATGGATTTTTCAGTTTCTGTTCCCAGAAAGGTGACTTTTGGGCTGTTTTTTAAGTTTCACTCTTTGAATCAGCAAGCACTAAAGAAAAAGAAGGTAGTTACTTAGAGTAATCTTTTTTCAAATTGTTCTGGTATTGCCCTTCTTGCCATGTAGTGAAACACTTACAGGAAATTGAGGTGCCAGAAACTCAGTGCTGGGGATTTGAAGAACAGTTTGTGTGGGTGAGAGAGCAGCATTCACACATACCTGACAGGTGTTTTGAAAGCAAAACATCTGCAGATGCAGGTACTTGAAATGTGGAAGCACTTAGGAATCTATAGCTAGAGAGTACTTTCCAAACATCTATTAATAATAACTTTTTCCCCCATTGGCTTGCACAGTAGTGAGTGAAAAATTAGAAGCCTTCTGGGAAGGTTTGCTTTTTAAAAGCAATTTCTTTGTGAGGTGTGCGTTTTATTTCACAAAGGAAAAGTAGTATTGCCAGTGTAGTGTCCTGTGTAGAACAGCAAGGAAAACAGTTCACGGAAACAATCCAAAAGATTATGAATATGAATTGCTGCAGTTAAATATGGGTAACGTGTTTTGTTCCTATTGGTAGCTTGTCTTTTTAGGAATGTTCTTGAAGAAAAAATAATTTCTAGCCCATCAGTTGGAAGTACTTTTTAAATACTCAGATGTTTTTGTCCTTTGATTACTAACAATTGAGAAATATGTAAATATCTTAGTACTTGGTTAAATGCGTAACTGAAGCCTGAGGTCTTGGAACAATGACTTCAGCAGTGCTGTTCCTGTGATGATACGTGCTGCACGTTGAATTGTATAGAATTTTGTCATTTAGCAAGAATTCTCTAAATATGCCAGTCTGCCATATTCTTTTACCATTAAGTCAGAATTCTTTTTCTGCAGCAACCCCGAAATATTTTATAAAAATCCATTTTGTTAAATACTTCTGTGGTAGCACAGTTTGTACTAATATATATGGCAATTGTTTGTTTTGACCTTAGAAACAAGCTAGGAAATAGCATGTTTAAAACACAGTAGAAAGCATCCCTGCTCTCCCAGTGTACATCAGAAAGGCAGAAAATTGAATGTAAGTGCATGACCTTTAAAAAGAAAAGTTTTATGAAGTCAAGGAAAGGTTCTGGTCTGTGACTGCCTGTTTTGGATAACATCAACCATGCTTAATGTGTGTCACTTAAATTTAACCAGGACAAGAGATAATGTTTACTATTTCGGTTATTCCAGATACTACATATCAAAAGGTGCTATCGTTGATCAGCTTGGAGGAGATCTAAATTCTACCCCGCTTCACTGGGCAACAAGGTGGGGAAAAGCCTTCTGGAACTTTCTTTTCCTGTGTTTTTGCTTAACTTGGAAACTGCTACCAATTGGTTTAAGAAATTGCTGTATTTTATGGGATTACTTTGTACAAGAAGTAATTCAGTCACTGATAACTGGGCACACTGTGAATGTGGTGTGTTTGAGCTTTCAGCGCGTAGTTCAGTTTTTGCCTTATCTCTTCCTGATGTAGAGGAAGGTGATTGCTGTGATAGGAAAAGGATTAAAGTAAAATTAGTCTGTAGTCACCTTGGTTTACTTTGGAGATCTTTTTCTTTTTTTTTCAGTCTTCTGAAGCTCAGCAACACTTCTGTGGATGGGGCTTGGGATGATTTTGTGTGACGTTGTCCTTGCAGTGTTCTGTTACGTGTGTGGATTTTTTTTAAAGGTGCACTTAAAATCAGACTTAGAAGGTGGTCTGAGAGTGATGAATAGCTGGGAAAATTGGAGACAGCCTTTGAGAATTAGCTGCTGCTTCAGACAGCTGCCTAGAAATAGGCGGGACAGGAACACTGTCCATATTGATATTTTTAAGTGTAGGCTGCAAAAGAGGACTTAAAAAAATCAGCTTTTAGAACATTTAATATATCAAAATAATTTATTTATTAAAGATGAGGACTTGCTTGTTAGCCTTTGTTAAAGATTGTAGCTTGTATATTTCTTTCTGTTACAGATCACAAATTTCTTAGTTAATAGCACAAAAGCTTGATTAAATTTTCTACTGTTCATAGCTGTGATCTGTTGTTCTGTGAAGCATTGTGCAAAGCTGCTTCTGACAGATTGGAAAGGTCTTTTTGCTCATGTCAGAACTCTTAAAATAACAGGATTCGTATGTGGATTGGAAGAAGTTAAATTGGAATAAATTTCTGAACTAATACCTTGGGGTTTTTTTGTTTAGTGGCTGGTTGCTATACAACATCCTTAAGCAAATTGCATGTGATGAATGTATTGGCTGCATAGAATTTGCACGTATGAATGAGTTTGCTTACTCCGGTCAGGATCAGATCATGACAATTGTTGTTTTCAAAGTGTGGAAGCTCCAGTAGTGTAATTAACTGCTAAACATATTTCTTGTATTCCCATGTTCAAATTTTAGTATTTTTCTGTATAGTTATTCAGTTATTTCTGGTTTTTTTGTGTTTTGTTGCATTTAGACAGGGTCACTTATCCATGGTTGTACAACTGATGAAATATGGGGCAGATCCGTCGCTAATTGATGGAGAAGGATGTAGCTGTATTCATTTGGCTGCCCAGTTTGGACATACTTCAATTGTTGCTTACCTGATAGCAAAGGGACAGGTAAATTTTAAGTAATTTCGTATTTAAATAGATTCTACTCAGAGTAGGAAAACAGTTGAAACTTATACCTGTTTTTCAGGAAATGCAAAATATTTGCCAGACTAAACATAAACATAATTCAATGTCTTTTCCTGTAGAACGCAGTATTGGTGTGCCACCTGCTAACTTAATTTCCTTTAACAGTGGTCTGAGTACTTTGGATTGAATTCATATCTGTCTAGTGTAGTATATGGAAGTTCTAACAGTTATTCTTCTACCATTCTTTATTTCTTATGGATTTAGTCTTTACATCTTAACAGTGGTAATGATAGCAGATATTTTAGAGTTCTTCACAGAACCTTCAGGTCTGTGAGTGAAGAATCCAATGACAGAGTTGTCATTGGTCATCTCTTCTTTTACGCCTGAGTCCACAACTTTTATTTATTGCTGTTACTGATTACATGCATATGTAAATAAAAAATAAACTCCAAACCTTCTTGCTAGCCTCTTATATTACTGCTAGATTTGTAAAGTGTGTTTATAGCATGTGTTACTGTTCTCGTTGTTTCCCGTCCTTCATTCTGTATGCTCAAAAACGTGTTCACCTTTTTGCTACTCACCCTGCATTATAATTTGTGGATTTACTCACCCATGGATGTGTGCCTGAAGCACAAATTTAATTTACTTTCTAAACCATATAGAAAAGTCAAAGCCTTCCTCTCATTTTACAGTTTCACTAATTCTGTTCACACTTCTGTTTTCTACTTATTCTTTCAAATAGCAAGTGAGATATGATCCAGTGAACCAGGTAGAATGTGACTATTAAATCAGTGGGTTTGTTCTGTGTAAAACAAGTACTAAATTTGCTGCAGAAAATTATTTGTGCCTGCACATGTTAAAAAATAAACTATTACTCCTGTTTGATAAAACAGTATTTAGTGTATGATAGAGAGTAAGCTAGGCACAAGAAGAGGCTGATCATACATAATCGCTATTTTTTAAGAGGTAATGATTGGAGAGAAATGCATTTTCATCAGGAACAAGTTTTGTATCTTGTTCATAAAGTATATATAATTGTATGTGGGTTTTATGTTACCAGGAAAGTCTTGCAGGTGTTACAGAAGTGCAAACTTGTTTGAAGCGTAGCATTAATGAGAGGTATAAGTGGCCTTTAAAATGTTCTACCGTGATTAAGAAATCTTGCTGTAAATGTGTTTGTCCTCATGTTTATATACAGATTTTATGTCCTATTTGTCTGAGCATGTAATACTTCAGTCCGAAAGAAGCTGTGTCTTTACATGTGTACATACATAAACACACAAAACTTGCTTTAAAATTTAAAACCTCTTATCTTGGAAACAGCCCTCCTTATCAATAGCTTTTAAACAGGAGATTATTAAATGCCCCTAGTGTTATCAAGTATGATTCTGGTGTCCTTTCCATGCTGTGAGCTTGAATTAACTTCAACAGTAATTTTAAAAAGCACTTCAAAAAGTTCAGCTTTAAAATTATGTATTGATTTGGATGTTTAAAATATGGTATTTTAAAAATACAGTAATATCAATAGCATTGTAATAACAGTCCCTAAACTCAGTTCTCTAGTTATACTACATACAATTACAGAAACTACGTAGTTTCTTTAGAAGCTGTGGGAAATACAGGGTTCTATTTTTTTATTATCCTTTAATAAGTACATATGAGGTCACTAATCCTTTTTTTGTGGGTTTTTTTTTTTAACCTCCTTTATGATGTCATGATTTAGGTTTGGAAACTTGCACTTGTGCTTACATGGGCTTACCGTATATACTAATCTATATACTGCTTGCATGTCTTTTCCCCTTTTGTCTTTACAGAGACCAGGTTTACTTATATCCAAAGAGCGGGCTTGCCCTTGTTCTAAACCTAACTGTAGTACCTTAGTATAAATAACAACTAGATAAATGTCAAAGTAAAGGTCAGTGTAGGCTGTTGTGCTTTGTTAGTTCTCATCCTGATGCATTTATGGACCTGCATGACCAGAGAAGACCCAGCTTTCATAACTGTAGAGAACTGGTACATTAAGAAGTTGCTCCTAGTTGCTTCTTGTCCTTGGACAAGCTGGAATGTGGCTGGAACCCACCTTTAGTGTTGCTGCTTCACTCTGCTCCTGGGCGGCAGCAGCCAATGGTAAAATTTCCCATCTGAGGCTCGGGTCCAGTCCTCTACCTTCTAGAATTTAGTGTAGGGGAAGAATGCTTGGAGAGGTGCCTTCTGGCCTTGGTTGGAACCGAACCCACTTTCGTGCCAGCAAGTATTACTCAGCCAAGAGGCAGCAGTGGCTGACAGCTGTTGCTTTTTATTTAGTCGTGTCTCTTACTGAAGTTTGAGAGACTAATACCTGGTTGTATCATAACTTGCTCCTGTTGTTTGTGTCAGTAGGTTGCCTGGATCAAAATCAAGCCTGGGGCAAGTACGTGATAAAAATATAATCAGATAGTAAACAACAGAATCTATAGCACAGTTCCAAGTTTAGGTAAGATCATTATTAAAAAAAAAAATTAAAAAATTGGGGAGGAGGGAAATGAAAAGAGCTGGAAGGCACTTAAAAATGTTCAAAATGGATGCTTGTACTACTTGATTGCTTGACACTGTGCCTACAGCTACTTAAAAGCAGATTAGGGCAAGCCATACACAAACACAACACCCTGGAGTAAGTTAAGATATGGATATGATATGTCAGATGGTTGAATAATATGTTCTCATCTGGTGGCAAGTGTAAGATAACTTACCTTAATCACAAATAATGAGTGACTGTAAAGTAGCTAGTAGGGCAAAACCATGTCGTAAGAAGTATTCTGGAGCTAAAACTATAGTGTAACTATTTCACACTCGTAGTTTAACTAGCACTTTCATAGTTTAACTTGCACTTATTCATCAAGCATATATTTTTTTTATTGTACTCTCCTGTGCTACATAGACCCTCCTTGAGCTGTGGCCTAGGAGTAGTTGGCATCCAGCTTGGGAGATGCCAGTGTGGTACCAGCAGCCTTGGCTACTTTGGTGCTGCAGGCTGTGAGCAGTGCTCATAAGCACTGTTTCATCTGCTGACACTGAGGATCCTTCTCTCCACCCAGATCAGGCCAATGTAAGACACTGAACCAAGTGTTTATTTCCTAGGCCCAACCTACAGTACATTACTTACAGAATTTTAAGTCCAGTCATGTTTATTCCTCATGATTGTCAAAACTGGCTCTGCGTTTGGACTAGAGTATTCAGAACAGAGCCTTGGTTGTTTAGAAGAACAGCAAGGTAGGGTCAGTTCTGTGTTACCTTGCTTGATGATCTGTCTGTCAGTCTGCATGTGGTTCATTCCACAAGAATCCTACAAAATCTCTGCTTCTAGTGAATAACTAGCGCAAGTCTTTCCTAAATTAGTAAATGCTTTCAGCTTTACATCTCCCTTCCTGATAAATCTTCTTTACTATATGCTTTTAAATATGTCATCTCTTTAGAAGCCAGTTTCCCTTTCCCTGGGCAGCAGTCCATGTGGAAGAGATCTTTTCCTTATGGAGAATAGGATACTGAATGGGGCAGGATGGGTCTTTCTATGAAGGTCTGTGGTTTGTGAAATAACCAGTAATGGTTCTAAAGAGGATCAAATTCCTGGTGCCTTTCTGTGCAATTTAATGTACTTGTAAGTGGGATCTCTTGATACTTCTTGTGCTTTTGAAAAGGCCGTATTGTATCACAGTACTGGTTTGACCATTGCTTGTTAAATGTCCTGGCAAGCCTAAATGCTGCTCTGATCTCAAGCTGCTGTTCAGAATCCTACTTTGTCACCTATAGTGCTTTCAGAAAGTAGTGTTAAGCAGCAGAATAGTTGCTAGAGCTTCCTGCATGGAGAGGAGCTATTTCTCCCCTACATTTTTGCCTCCAAAAGCTTTCTGTGGAATCTGTCATTAGTGTCCTATCATTAAGCCTGGTTATCTTTGCATATGCAAAGCTGTTCTCTTTCAGGACCAGAGTTGTTCTATTTCAGAAACAAGTGAAAAAATTGCCAGTTGTGGTCCACAGAGTTCACACTTAGAAGACATACAGAGGACAGCAGTATGCATTTTTTAATCATTTCATCGCTTATTGTCAAAATCTTTGGTTCTTGCAATACTCATACTGTGTCCTAACAGCATAGGTACTAAGCGTTATCAGATTGACCTGTTGCCAAGAGTTAAACAAGAAGTAAATGCTAAAATGCCTGTTGGTACACACCACAACAGTAGGAAAATCTCCCAATACCTACCTACTGCTGAAGGTTTACCTTTTTTGCCTTGGGCCTTTGGTAAAAGCAGCAACAGAGCTTCCTTTCTGAAATGTTCCACTTGTGTGGTTGTGGTAATGATTTGGCAAAATAACAAGGAATTTTGGATGAGAGGCTTGTAGGAGCATGCGTCTGCTATCCATAACTATGTTTGTACACTATGCAAGTCAATCTTAAGTGTTTTGCCTCTTGTTAAAGTTCCTTTTCAAATAAAAAATCTGCTTCAGCCCACATTGCAGCTTGATATGAGAAATAACTGTAGCTTATGTAGGTAATTTATGTGCAGGGAATAGTCTGGAGCTCATGGCTTTTTTTTTTTCTTTAGCTGTGTATCACTTAGTGTGCGAAGTGTAGTTTTGATTTGCCAAGTGAAATCACTGAAGGAGTTGTTTCATTTACATCCAGGCAATGAGGTCCCTGCTGTCGCGAAGAATTACTTTTCTATATGAAATCTAAGATGAAAGAGTGATGGTTCTTGTCACAGTAATTTGTACATTCTTCAAAATACGTTGTTCACACAAGTGTGACCTCTGAATCAGTCATGCTTCTCAAGGATGAATGAACTTGATGTTAGGCTGTGGTTCCCATTTCCTTCATGCTTTCAACAATAGGAGGTTAAAGGAAGTGCCAATGATTGCATGGTCCTAGTAGGCTCCAAATGACCTGATCTATACAAGTACTACAGGCAAACAGATTTGAATCCTGGGTAAATAATAAATAATAAATAAAGTAATGGTTCTCTTTCCTCTCCATCAGCTGTTTTTTAAATTTTCTGATTTAATTTTTTTTTCAATTAAACAGAGTAGAAATTCAGAAATGTAAAGCTATCTGCAAGCTAGAGATGTTTTAAAACCAATTATTTGGAAGAACTAAGTTGTTTTTTCTGGAAAAATTCTAGCTGTGTCAGGTTAGCAGCATCATGAGCAGCGATCCCAGGGGACTGGACCTTTGTCAGACTGCCGGAGCTTCTGTAGCAAAAGGCTTTATTGAGACATTTTCAACCTAATTTTCCCTGTAAGGACTGAGGGAAACAGCATAAGAAATACTGACATAGCTCTATTGCTTCTAAGGAAAACTATTCAGGTCTTGCATTAAGGTAGCTTAGAGTAATTTTTTTAGTGGTGGTCTGTGGAACTTGCCCACACGTGCTTGAGAGTCTCATCTGCCTCCGTGCATTTAGGAATTACCAAATTCTGTGTTAGTGAGGTAGGGGTCTATAAGAGGGAAAGATGCAGTAGGTATTAGATTCTTTCTGATGGATCCAAGAGAATTGTCTGGATGGTGCCGTTTTGTCATTCTGTGGCTATGATCTGTTATACGTAAAAATTTTTTTAACATTATTTTAAGCCATCAGTTCAGTCACCACTTGATTATAGATCAGTTTTATTTTTGGGTAGATTGTTTTATTAATGGCTTTTGTTTAAACTTAAAACTTTCTGGCATCCATTGACTTGCTATCCAGATAGGTAAATACCTTGGGAACTGAGTGAACTAAGAAAAATTGCTTTGCAAGGGGAAAAATTGATGCAGCTAGCATTCAGTGGGATTCAGGCCATGGTATTTATGTTAATTTATGAAGTATTTTATTAAATATTGGCATGTTATTTTAGTTTTGTCCTGCTTTTGAGTGTAATAGTACACTGTCATATATATCTTTTATTTCGAAGATTAATAGTAAGATAGAAATTACTAGTCTTATAGAGCATGGCTGTCCCTTAGTATCCAAAATAGATTGGAATGGTATATTTTTGCAATGGTGGTGTTAATGTCTGTTTTCATTTTTAAAATATGATTTCATTATGTACTAGAAGCTTGCCAGTTTTTCTCTGTTTCAGTTGGTTAGTCTTAAAATACCGTGTTCATTGCAAACCGTGTATCTACTGGATCTTGAGCCTGCTTATCTCACTGACTTTTTTTTTTCTTTTTAGGATGTAGATATGATGGATCAAAATGGAATGACACCTTTAATGTGGGCAGCGTATAGAACACATAGGTAATATCTCACTGCAGTTTTTACTTTCTCTTGATATTCACTAAGTGACATATAGTAGTGCCTGGTTTTGATTTTTTTAAGTGTTTGTTTTTTTAACTAGTCAATATTCTTTCCACAATGACCACTTTCTTTATTTATGATGGTTGTGAGTTGACCCCACTGAGCAGCTCAGCCCCACATGGCCACTTGCATGCTCCTGCCTAGTGGGATGGGGAGGAGAATCAGAAGGGTAAAACTAAGAAAACTCACAAGTCGAGATAAAGACAGTTTAATAGGTAAAGTAAAAGCTGTGTGCACAAGCGAAGTAAAATAAGGAATTAATTCACTACTTCTCATCAGCAGGCAGGTGTTCAGCCATCTCTAGGAAAGCAGGGCTCCATCATGCATGATGGTTACTTGGGAAGGCAGTTGCCATCACTCCAAAAGTTCTCACCTTCCGGCTTCTTTCCCCCAGCTTTTATTGCTGAGCGTGACATTGTATGGTCTGGAATTTCCTTCTGGTCAGTTGGGGTCAGCTGTCTCAGCTGTGTCCCCTCCCAACTTCTTGCCCACCCCCAGCCCACACTCTGGTGGGGCAGCTTGAGAAACAGAAAAGGCCTTGACTCTGTGCAAGCACTGCTCAGCAGTAGCTAGAACATGGGTGTGTTACCAGCACCTTTTTTGGTCACAAATGCAAAACACAGCACCACAGGAGCTGCTATGAAGAAGATTAACTTGATTCCAGCCAAAACCAGTACGATGACCTATTCAAGAAAGAGAGGATATTATGAGAAGTGCTCACTAATATGAACTTTTAGTTTTAAATGTAAATAATCCTGTGGAGATGATTGGAAAAAGCTGGTGTAAAATAACACCTCTCCAAAGAGCAAATTTGTCTGAATTAATTCCTGCTCAGAAGGGCCCATCTCCATTGATTGTTGAAAGGAACATAGGCTAGCTTTTACAAATACCTTCTATTACCAACATTATTACCCTACTTTATTTTTGTCTGTTAGAATGTGAAGTAGAAATATAGCATACTTTGAACTCTGATTGTTATCCATCAAGTATATAATAATGTGTATGCTTTTACAAACCTATTAATAGTTTGGTTTTGGTAAATTTAAAAATGAAGCACATTTGTAATACAATTCCATGACATCCCAGAACAAACTGTCTTGCTGAGCTCCTTTGAAAGCCAGCAGAATTACAGTTGCTCTTTGATGGGAAAGGGATTTGAGTCATTCGTAATTACCAGCAAAAAATGTGACTTTGCTATTACATGGTGTAACTGCTCAATGTTCTTTATAGAAATTGAACTCCTTAATAATACGTTGGAATGTTTTTGCATGTACTGTAGATCTAACAAGAATTTTCTTTTCTAGTGTGGATCCAACCCGATTACTACTTACATTTAATGTTTCTGTTAATCTTGGAGACAAATATCACAAAAACACAGCATTGCACTGGGCTGTGCTAGCAGGAAATACTACGGTTATTAGTCTTCTGTTAGAAGCTGGAGCTAATGTTGATGCTCAAAATATAAAGGTAAACACTTGGTCTGTTTTTATTGTAAGTGATTTGATGCAGAAATAACAAAGCCTATGATAAATCTCAATAATAGATTACTCCTGTGGGTATGGTGGGATCATGAAGATGAAGTAAAAGCCATGCCACTAATGTTTCATTTGAGAATCAGTTTTTCCTAACAGTGATACCTATCCACTAAATCTGCACCTTTGAAAATACTCATGTAAATAATTTACTGATGATTATGTGCAAATATATGGGAGTGAGATGTGCATCAGACTGCGTGTGTGAAGACCCATGCATTTGCACGCAAAATTGGAAATCTGACTGAATGTCTTCTAGTGAAGTTCTGGGGTAACTCTGTTTGTTGGAGTGAGGTGTGAGACATCTCTGTCCTCTTCCAGAGAGATGACCAGTGCTTTAGTATACCTTCCCAGTAAGGAAGTTGGAGGCCTAAAAATACCAGTGGGAGTAAATTAAGAAAATCGACTCTCTTTTGCATCAGAACTTTTAAGTTGCCTGGTTACCAGACCTCTTGATGAAGCTGGATGCAGCACTAACAGAGCCCATGCCTGGCACATGTTTGACCAGCCAAGCAGCTGTTGGAGTTTATGCCACAGACCTGGAGTCTGTAAGAGCCTCTCCAGCAGTGGAAGGTGCACCTACTGAATGTGTTTTGGTCCATTGCTTCCACAGTGCTCTGTGCATCAAATTGGATGTACTTCACCCAAGCTTTCTGCTGTGGTGTCAGAGAAGAATTAACTTTTAGAAAAAGAATTCTTTACTCAATTTCTTTTCACATATTTGTATTTTCCACTTAAAGAGTGTTACAGATAGTGTTCATGCTGGAAAATACAGCTGTAAATCTACACTTATAAAATATTAAATAATTATATTTATTTGATCTTTCACCATTTTTCCTACGTGATTAAGATGGCCAGAGCCTATTTTGCTAGGCCACAAGTGATAGAAATATGCTAAAAACTAAATGTACGCATTCATTTTCTTGAACAGCATGAAACAGTCTTTTTAAGGGTGCAGTCAAATTTTTTAGTAGCTTTCTAGATCCTACACCCACTTTAGAATATCAGAAATACTGATGATCATGAATGAAAACTCATTAGAAAAATCACATGGCTTTTCACATGTTTAAAACAAATCAAATAGTCTCTTGCATATACTAACGTGAATATATAGTGATTATCCCTGGTCTATAGGGTTAGTTGTGTGGATGAATTATGCTTCTAGTCTCATTTCTTGTAAACTGTTGAAGTGCTTTTCTCTGTCTAATGGTAAAAAATAAGGTACTTCTATGGGGAAAAAAAATAAAATCAGTCTGTCATACCTTGCTTTCCTTGACAGTCTTGATTAGTGTGGTTTTAAAGTCATCACCTTATCTATATTTCTGGGCTCTTCTGAAATCCATAGTAAAAATTCATGTTTGGCCAAATGAAAAAGAGTCTGCTAGCCTGAAGCAGTTCATGATCTCTCCTCCTTTATTGACAGACAGCAGCAGTCAGTAGAAAAGTAGGTTTTTGAACCTGCTGGATCATGAGATCTTTCCAGTCATGCCAGAGGACGTGTGCCTGGTTTAATGAACCACTGCTCCCCTTCTACAGTGGAGTCTAGGTTTCTTGCATGCTTCCCCAGGTTTCTAGGATCTTCAGAGGTTCAAAATCATTCTAGCAGTGGTAGCTTTGCCATCCTGCCAGTGGCTTTGTAACAGATGTTGATGTGGGTGATAGTAAACTTAAAGGAAACATAAGATTTAGATTGATTTTTATAGGTATATAGAAAATCAGTTTTGTGCTTCTCTTTTGACTATTATGCAAAAAAAGTTTCTTTGAGCCACAAACTGGTTATGAAGTGTCTGGCTTGTGTTTCTCCAGAAGTAAAAAGAACTGTGAAAGGCTCCTTTTTGATGCAGCCACTTCCGGATTTCTGCAGCACTGTCTAGTGAAGTCCTTTTCTCAGGTAGCTCATGAGATTGACCAAGAATGGTGGTAAGACAGCTAAAGTTAAAGAAAAGCATTGGCTGACAGCTGTTCATCTTTTTCAAATTATGAAGTAGCTGAAATACTAGGCATGGGCTTTGACTTTGTTGTTATCAGCTCTAGGCAGACTGTGTTAGAAAGGCGTATGCTGGCTGCTATGCTTGGAACGAATTGGGACCAGTCATCTCAGTGAGGTGCTGCTCTTACTTTGCAAGACAGTTTGAGAAGTATACGAGCAATAGCACTCTTATTCTAGAATAAAGCTAGATACAAGAAACAGTGGGTTTGTCCCATTTTGTGTTATTTATCCTCTTTTTATTATGCTGTACAAGAAAATAATACGTTTCTTTGGGTATTACGATACTTTCTTTATCCTTTTAAGAATTTTATTACAGTTGGAGTTTGAAGCTGCTTTTCAGTAGTCAAAGTGGGGGTTTTTGGTGTTTTTTTTGTTCTTCTGTTGTGGTTTTTTGTTAAGGAAATTATCATCTCAGTAGACAGATTGGACAGATGAAGACAGGATTTCACAGGGACCCAGTTTATCACTGGGTTTTAGGAGGAAACTTGTAAGTGTTACGTAAATTGAAGCAGATCCTTTTTTGCTACAGAGTAGTAAAGACCCAAAAGAGCTTTTATTGTTTAAGGGAGATTTTTGTGTGTGTTTGTTTAAATCTGTTAATCATTGAATGGACTTTAGATGTAGTTTCTTGACTATGCAGTGTGTCCGTAGGCTTGTCTGTGGAAGTCTGCATGTAAAGTTCCCTATGGTAATGACTCTTGAGATTATTCTTTCTATCTAAACACTTCAAATATATGCTATGGAAGCCTTATTGCTTGCTGGCAAAGTGTGTTATTAGATGAAGTTCTCAGATTTTACTTTATTTTTTGCTTTCTAAGCAAGTCAGCTATCCACCACCCCTGTGAGTACAAGGGAAATATTAAAATGGCCAGATGACAAGAAGCATAGTCAAAGACTTCTTTAAAGCTCCCTCAATCTCTTTATCTAGGCAGTTCCTAGGTGTCTCATGGCCCTCTAGTGGAAGGGATGCTCAGCTGGACCCCAAGACAACTTCAGGATTTACTTGGGAGATCAACTCCCAGAGGGGATTGCTTGTCCACAGGTAATCTTTACAGTCTGGATATATAAGATGATATTAAAACAGCAGCTTCTCTGGAGTTTTCCAGATATTAGCAGTTCAAGGTGCTATTAAATTTGTGATGAAGCAGGCATCATAGTTTGTTTTCAGGCATTTCTGTTGAGAATGGGGTTAATTTAATCCATTTTTTGAACATCTGGCTAAATAACTTTGAAGCCAAGTTAAGCCAAAAGGTGGTTATTCTTTTTTAACTGATTTTGCAAGTTGAACTCCTCGCATGGAACAAGTGCAAGATCCTATTAAGAAGCAAAAAGCTTCACCTCATAATCTATAATCTGTGCTATTTACTCTCCTTTTAAAGATTTGGAGCAAGATTTCAAAGGGAAAAGTGACAGTTAAGTACTCAATTCCCATTGTCTTTCTGTGAGATATAGGTAGCTAACTGGACTTTATCTTTGAAATCTCTTCTGTCTATAGTAATTATTGCCCTTTCTGGGTAATTTCAGTTTCTAGTACCTGTCTCACTTTTTTTTTAGGAGGGGGCCGAGCGATGGAGGATTCAGCCATTTTTCAAGCCTCCATGAATGGTTTGTTTAGGAGGGGAGTTAACTCCAGTAGAAGAGAGGAGGAGTCAAATGCAAAACTGAAGCTGGAGGTACCTGCAATTGGTTGTCTCTTGCCTCCTCTATAATTTTAGACTCAGTCAATAACTTTCATTTAGCTCTCTTCCTAAATGTTTAAAAAGTGATAAAATCAAATCAGTTTGGTAGGCATTTTTGGCCACTGTATCTCTCTCTGTGTCTCTCCTTTGCTTTGTCTGTCAGCCCTTCCTGAAAGCAGGGA